TTAAATCAATGTTTATATATGATTGTAAGCAACTGATGAGAAGTCGCGAGATATAATGAATTCATATTAATCTGCGTCGATGTTTTTTCTGGCTTTATTCATACTCGTAAAGGGGAGCAATTTCATGAAATTTCATCATAAGTATGTTAATCATGTGGTTCTCACTATAATTGTTAGTGATTTGAATAGTGCTTAAGATTTTCATGGTCACGTTAAATTTATGCACTTCAAAAACCATTAGTTTCATGTTGTTTGCTTTGTTGTTCATAAGAACTTTAGTGAGCTTAGCTTTTACAACCTCTGCACTTCTGTTTCAAAAATGATGATAAGTTTATCACGAATAAATAAATAACTCATGATCAATTCTGATGCACCTTTCACTAATGGGGGGTTAAGTCATAACATGATTTGCAGTTCTCAAAATTTTTCTGTGTCCTTATGCAAAAATTACAATTTTTTATCTAAAGAGTCTGTCATCATCTTAATGTTCAGAAGATTTATTTTGGTTTTTACCCTATTTTATAGTTAGTGGTTTTTTCCTCACCTATCTATTCGGTCTCTATAGTTTTTCACGTCAAGACTAGATCTAGTACATCCTAACCTTTTGTACCAATCGTTCTGTCCGTTTTACCCCACCAGAGTGCATTGTTTTTTAGTTTACCGTCGTGACCTAACTAACAAACCACATTTCACTATGATCATGGAGAACTTATGTAAGCGGCCTGGGTGCAGTTTCGTTATCACTTGTGATATGTTATGGGACAGATACAAAGCTTGGTTTCGCGAAGCATGCACAGACCTTACAGAGACTGCTTACTTCGGACTTAGTAAGTCAGATCACACTTGCATATGTGTGCATATGCAACCTGAACGCTGAGGGTTTTTTGAGCGAGATTACCATCCTCCTGACAGGTCTGTAAAACTTAACCCTCCAGGAACCCTGAATAAAGGCAGTCATGAAACGGATACACAAACAAAGAAGTACAGTGAAATAAAGAAATAAATACGGTACAAACATTAACTTTAGTGAGGTTACGATGAAACTCATCACCATCATAACATCGATGGTGTTTGACTCTCTCAGCATACTTTTGTCTCCAACAATAGACTCTCCAAAAACAACTGTGGTCTAAAAAAATTCTACAGGTAACAAGATCCTCTTCAACAAAGTTAAAAAGGATCGAATATCACCATCAATAATGTCTTGTAGTATCTTAGGCTTCTCAAAATTGAGCAGCTATCTGTTGCATGGCTTCCTTGGGGGAACGGGACTAAATACCGAAATCTCCCCAAACCCATTTGTGTAACATTCACTAACACTATTGACGTAGAGAATGTTCTGTTGGTCAGTCGTTTAGTAAAATCAGAAGTGAATGTGAAGATACTACCTATTCTACCGTATTTCCATTGCGATCCCAACAGGAACGTTTCAAAAGGATCGTGTGAGAAGTTCTTCTGTGGAAAAAACACAATTGTGCAGGGTGTTCCAGAAAACGCGAACTCTGATAATGCAGACTTTAATGTTTTGGAAAGGAAGATCATAAACCAGTCCTTGGTTCTTAGTAACATATTTAACCAACAGCGGTGCAATTATTTGAAAAGGAAGGGGATTCTAGACCGTTACACGTTTACTGGGCGTGACGTCTGTATAGAAGCCCGGTCCAGGAACTTCATTTGAAAACTGAAATCATTCGAAAATATGAATTTGTTAACTTGGTGAAGAATGGGTCGGACTCCATCATCTTTATAATGCATATTTATAAATCAAAAAAATTCTCAATTAGCAACTTATCGATCCTGTCTCTTCTGGAAAAGTGATCATGCTGCCATAGCATTCAGTTTACCAGCGTACTTGAGGTGATTCCATTAAAACTAATGTGATTAGCATCCCATGTCAAAGACTTACAGAGCTATTTATTTTGGCGATTTATTTACAGCTACAAGGCTTGAGTATGATATAAAGCCAGCCAATAAATTCATCTTATTTTCATCCTTCAGCTACTTTTCGACAAGCCGAAAGCAGATTTTTCCCGTTATTACGTCTCAAAGGTTTAACCAACGACGGCAGTGTTGCTGCTGACTTTTTAGCAGAACAGTATTCTCTATCGTTTCTACCGTCGTATATAATCTATATCAATTTGTGCTTCACTCGCTACTCAGTGGGACTCTCAGAACTGAACCTGAGTTCTGTCTGTATGCATCAGAAACTGTAGTTTATAAACAAGGATATTTCTCCTGTCTTGGATATGGTTCACTTTGCACATCGAGAAAAGAGGTCTGAACATCCACAGAAATTGTGTAAAGTTGGCACCGAATGTCTAAAGCGTCACTGAAGCTACGACAAAAATGCCTTTCGAGCAAACATAGCACTGGTAATGTTGAGGTTCAATTTCGGCCAGTTCGACAGTAGAACTTTTCATTTGATCTTCAACAGCAATATTCGGCCTCATTCGGAGAATGAGAACATAATATTTCCTCCTTCACTCCAAAAGGATAAAAATACACTGGAACGTTTTGAAAGGTCAATCAGTTTGTAGATCACCAACGTAGATGGTCTATGTCCAAATGATTGGAGGCCTACTCAAGTAAGACGTGAATGGTGTGACAAACTAGCTAACGTCGAAGTCACAGCTCGTGGCCAGTACCTTACGTGGACTACCCCATTGACGTATCAAGGTACTATAGATTCTTTGAAGACTGTACAACATAGAGGACGTTATTACAGAAATATATTAGTTAATGTAGATACAAGCGAAAGTAAGACCACTGCCGCATGGGCCAGTCCATGGCTTACGATTAAATGATGCACGTTGGTTGTCCTTGACCTCACGAGGATCGATGATTTGTTCGATATTCAGTGACCCAACTGCCAGATGAATTGGCTAGGGCTTAGTGACATTTCGCTGGCCCTACAAGTTCTTGAAATCGAATTCAAACCTTATCAAGAGTGCCGTAAGAGATTGAATATTTACACATCAGATCATGGGCGTCTCATAGGTGACTTGTCAAAGTTATTAAGCTAAGGCTTCTTCTACTCCGTTCAGAACCATTTGAACTATTATGGTTGTTTTCCGACTTGAAGACACATTTATTTAAAGGACGAATTTTAAGTTGCATCATTATGAGTCGTCTTTGATATCAGCCTCTGTGTACATAAAGTTACATCGTATTTATTTTAACTCATTAATACCCATTTATACAGTTTAGCGGTAGGTTTGTTGCACTGCTAACTTTTGGGGTGTGTGGGTTTGTATTGTCGGTTATTATGTTAAGCCCATATGCCTTATTCTAGCTTTCGTACAGCCCATTCCTTCATTCTACTTGAGTCATTTTTTACATTGTTAATTATTCGCTTATCAATCTTGGCTGTTTTTATATGAGCGCATATGTGTGTGCACTTCTTATCGGATTACTCATCACATGTCTGTAACTTATTTCTGTGTAACTATAAATATTGATCAGCGCTTGACTAAAGGGAGTTGGCTTACTCACCATTTTCACCGCCTATCGTTTCGCTCCTCTCTATTCTATTCGCTTCATGTACAAAGTATATGTATTCGAAAGTCCATTCTCGTTATTTGACTTATCTGATTCCGCTATTGACGAACGCGATTTCAGTCGATGATTATATACGAAGATAGGTGATAACAAACATTAATACGATCTAACTGGAGTCAGATCCACGGGACACTAAAGTGGAGAGCTCGTCAACAAACATCGTCCGGTCTAAATGACGACAAAATAACGGGCCCCAGAAAAGGTTGTTCGCAAATAGTTTTTCCATTCGTAATCGAATACCTTACGTTTTTGGATCGAAATTAAAAATTGTGATCACTGTCTTAGACCGTACTGTTTTTACCCTCATTGAGTACTAAACACTGACAACATTTTTCTAGACTGTCACAGAATAATACATTAGTAGGAAAACATGCTAAAAGATGTTTAACGTGTGTGAGTAAAAGGTCTTCGACGTTCAGTAATTTTCATCTTCAGGCTTGATTAACTTCTAAGATTTGCACATTCCCAACCTCACTATCTTAAGAAAATCTTGGGGTTTTCCTCAAAGTCGTAAGGGATATGGTAGTTCTCCCCAAAGTTTAGAAAGATTTCTGGAAAATATAAGACTCTGGCAAAATATTAGGGAGAGCCCAAACGTTTCGGAGATTTCCCCAAAACGGGAGACTCCAGAGTTTTCTGTAATAATCTCCCCAAGATTTACCTAAATAGAAAATTTCCCATAAAATAGGGAGATTGGGTTAAAACCGTCCTGGTAGTTTAAATATTAATCAAGCACTCACTCATGAGTGCTGGGGAAAAAACCCGAGATTGCGAAAAGTTTTGGGGTTTTATCAATTAGTTTTGACAGATTTCCCCTAAAGTGTTATGAGAATCTGGGGAAATTTTTTTGGTAATTTCTCGAGATCTGGGGAAATGTTTTTGAGTTTTTACGCCATTTCCTCAAAATTCCCCATAACTGCTTCCCCAAAGCAGACAAAATTTTCCGCCAAATAGAGAGATCAGGGTACAGAGCGTCTTTTTGTATCTACTTGTCAGCCAGATTTACAACAGCATGATCAATCTGCTGAGAACCAGGTGAACCCAATAAAAAGTCAGCCAAGCTTTCTTTGTAAGCCCGTCATTGGAATTCTCATCTTGTTCATCCTGTATAACAATCTACTTATTCAATACAAATGAATTTAGGGCGAGACTATAATTTGTGGACATGCTCAAAGTCAACTTACCGTCGCTCAAAAGTCATCCATAAATTATAGTCTCACCGAATTCAGTTTTCTTAACCTCTTGGTTATGGCTTATTATCTTTAGAAAACTGACGGGGTTATAGGTTGTGTATATGTATATCAAGACTTAACAATGGTAGAAGCTGCATTTTAATCGAAAACTTCTTTTAAATATTCTAAGTTCCCATTTTAGATTCTTATCGAGTTGTCTGTCTTCTATCACCCGCTGACACTCTTGAAGAGTGACCAATCTCCGCTACAATGCCTAGTATACTTTATTGTGTTTTCTGGTTTTACTTCCTTGCGGTCACCTGGTTCTTCTGGAGTTCGGTAGTGTCGGCATGTTTCAAAATCCAGATTATCCAACACTTGTATATTTCTATGTTGGATAGACTGTTTTCCGTACGTTAAAATTCTTTCGCTGATGTATACACATAGTACGCCGCCTCGGCTGTCACAGTAAAAGACGACATTAAAAGAATAAGGAGTGTTGACAGTTTTGAAAACCTTGATACGTATGGTTGGTTGCTCTACTTCAGTGATCTCTTGCTTTAGATGATGATTTGATTGAAAGGGACATTCAACTAACTGAAGGAGGTGTAAAGGTTAAAAATCATCTTGTTCCAGATCAAAAAGGATTCAGATTATACTACCCAACCTACTTAGTTAAATGTGGGATAGAGGTTTGTGGCCTCTTGCAAATTACTGTCTTAGGCTATTATAGAAGATTCTGTCACCAAGAGATTCACAGCTGCGGAGTTAAGAGTATGGAATTTCTTGAGTCGCAACCAGAGTTATGTATATGCCAAGTAGGTGTGTTCTTTTTACCATTCACTTCATAGGAGAGATAACCATACCACCCTAATGATGCTATGGCTTGTGGGCCTCATTGTTCGTTATGTAATATTCCTGCCGTGCAGGTAAGCTTTATAGTTATCATTAATTCCTCAGACTTGTTGTTTTCCTCTCTTCAGTTTTCTTCACGTGGATTTTAGGCGCTGTGGCTCGGAAGCTTCCCCCTTCACGGTACTTTCACTTTGTTACGCTCATTTATGAAGGTTTAAAAACTGGTTATCCACCGAAGGAATCCAGGCAGCCGTACGGCTTAATTTGTGTTCATTCTCTGCTGTTATTCGTTTCCACAACAGGTTTGTTTGTTTAACCAATTAGTATAGTCGTTTACCAATTACTTTTTCAAAAGAAAACTGCGACGTATATTACCAAGCATTCGTAATAATCTTTCTAAAAATTATGGAAGACTTTTTGGCATAGGACCACTTCTTAATAGCTTCTCCTATTAAGTTATAGACGTTTTTTCGTATCTGGGATGATGGTTACGGGATTGACTCAAATAAACTCCGGAAAGCCTCTTCGAGATGCGGTACTAACAGTGATAACTTGTCATGTTCATCAATTATATTATTAGATAATGAAGTGTCCTGTCATCAAACCTAGCACATAATTTCATAATGAACTTCGAGCCACATTCCCAGTGTACGAGTTGGATGTTCTGTTCAGTTTCCAGTCACAGTGGATTCATTGGTTCTCAATCCCAGTTTCTCCAGTCAGTCAGTCAGTCAGCTACAACGTAGGACCAGGCACATGTATGCATCGGCCCAGGTTGCCATACCTCATTAGCACAGCAAGATGAACACCGGATTCATAGGAGTGGTTAGGTCAAAGGTGGTAATATATAGGAGAAAGATTGCAATAAGGATATAGTATAGGAAGAAAGAATTAGTTCGTAGAAAGAAAGATGTGAAGTGATCTTAATCTCTTAGTTTAAGAGAAGACAGAGAGTGTATACACCGACGCCATTGTGATCGATTCTGAGCCATGTCACCAAGGGTCTCCAACCATTGGTTACGAAAGTCACGCGGACCCCAACCAAGTAGTCTGCATCTACCAACATGGCTCAGACTAGAAGTTAGTGACTTCAGGCACTGATGCCACGTTTTGGTTTGGCCGCCCCTAACTTTCTTCCAACCATCCCCTACACCGGTTAGCATTGCACGTCGCGGTAATCGGTGTTCAGGCATACGTAATACGTGGCCCAACCATCTCAGTCGATGAAGATTCATAACCTCATCAACTGATTTACCATCATTCCCTAATACCCTGCGTCTAACCTCACTATTACTTACCCGGTGATCCCAGCAGATGCCAGCAATATTTCTAAGGCATCTGTGGTCAAATACTAGTAGCTTACGGGTGTCTTCTACTCTTAAGGGCCATGTTTCGCTGCCGTAAATTAAAACAGAACGGACAGCCGCGCAGTATACTCGTCCTTTTATTGATAGACGGATATCTCGCCTCCGCCAAAGGTGACGTAAGTTGGCAAAAGCCAAACGAGCTTTACGAATCCGTGCTGAGATTTCGTCAGACACCAACCCATTAGGGCTGATCAGACTTCCAAGATAAGTGAAGTTGTCAACACGTTCGACTACTTCACTCCCTATCCTTAGTTCAGGTGTTGACGCAGACCAGTCCTGAAGCAACAACTTGCATTTAGAGGGAGAGAAGCGCATCCCAAACATTCTGGCATTGTTGCTTAGTGCTACCAGAAGACTCTGCATTTTGTCAGCGTCTTCACCAAACAGGACTATGTCATCTGCATATTCTAAGTCGATAAGTGGACCTCCTGGAAGGAGATCAATACCCGAGAATTCAGTCGACGAGAGTGTTATTTCCATCAATAGGTCTATGATGAAGTTAAACAAAAATGGAGAAAGTGGGCAGCCTTGACGGACACCACTTGAGGTTGCAAAGGTAGATGACAGTTCGCCATAAGCCCTGACTCGACTAGTAGTGTTCGAGTAAAGAGCCTTCACAAGGTTTATGTACTTCTGAGGTACGCCTTTCAATGACAGACACTGCCACAGAGTCTCGCGGTCTACAGAGTCAAATGCTGCTTTTAAGTCAAGAAAGACCACCATCGTCGGACGCCGATAGGTATGCCTGTGTTCTAGAACCTGACGAATGGTGAATATGTGGTCGATGCAGCCACGACCAGGTCTAAAGCCAGCTTGGTTCTCTCGTGTTTGTAGTTCACGAGTCTTAGTTAGGCGTTTGATAATTATCGAGGCCAGTATTTTAGATACTATGTTTGTTAAACTAATCCCTCTGTGGTTGTCACAGGATGATTTTGACCCTTTCTTATATATTGGGACGATAAGTGATTGCGACCAGTCAGATGGGATAACGTCTAACTCCCAGATTTTAGCTAAAATATTAGTCAACCTAATCGCTAAAATTGGACCACCATCCTTAAAGACTTCTGGAGCCAGTCCATCTGGACCAGCTGCCCTTCCTCGTTTCAGATTAACTATAGCCTTCTCAACTTCAGCAAGAGTTGGGGGACCTACTTCAATGTTCCATTCACTTTGTCTGGGAATGGAGGGTAGTTGTAGAGTAGCTGAAGGCCAGCTGAACTGTTCTCTAAAATGTTCCGCCCATCGTTCTAAACGTCTGGACTGGGAGCAGATGAGAGTATCATCTTTTTCCGAAATAATCTCACTTACACTTGACTTATTAATTCCAGTTTCTTTTATTAGTCTGTAAAGCTGTCTTGTGTTCCCTATAGTCGCCGCCTTTTCCATCTCTTTTGCTTTCGTTACCCACCACTGCTCACGGTCGTTCCTTAGACTTTTTCTTAACCTAGATCTGATTTGTTTACGCTCTTCATCATGTTCAGAACCTGATGGGACGAGTTTGCGAGAATCCATCAGTGTGACAGACCTTGAAGAAATCCACTGGTTCCTTGTAACTCTGTGGTTTAAGTCACTAACAGATGTCACTGCTGTTTCCACAGCTGCTTGTATGTCCTTCCAAGCAACATCTGGGTCAGCCTCGTCTTCACAACTAACTAAGTGTGACCTCAGTTGTTCCTGGAACCTACTTTTGGTTTTCTCGTTACTCAACTCAGTTCTAATGGGTCTTTTTAATGTGGCTTTTTTGCGTCCATTGAGGCGCAAGCAGATGCGTGCCCGTATTAGGGCATGGTCGGAGTCCAAGCAGGTGCTCCAGAATGAACGACAATCTTCTACCGACCCTCTCCAACGATGACTGATGGCAATATGGTCTATTTGAGTCCATCGTTGGTTTGGTGTAGGGGGTCGCCATGTTAGACGATGTCTCTCCTTATGCTTAAAATTTGTGTTTGCTAAAAATAAACGATTGTCTGAGCATAGCTGCAGCAGACGATCACCATTATCTGTTCGCTGTGTCGGAATACTAAAATATCCACCTAAATGCCTTTCTGTTTGGTTTAAACTGCCTATCTGAGCATTAAAATCACCTGCTACGAGTACTATGTCTGAGCGTTTAGCTTTCTGAAGAAGTTCGGATAGCTTTCTGTAAAATTCATCTTTCACTTCATCTGAGCTGCAGTCAGTGGGAGCGTAGGCAGAAACGACAAAAAGGCAACGACGTGTGTCCCTATCCTTCCGAGTTCTTACGTAGCCGTTCAGCCGAACAGCACATAGACGACTGTTGACGGGGATCCACTCTAGCAGTGCTTGTTCGGCCCTTATGCTTAGTGCTATGCCTACACCTGCCAGTCCACGAGAACTTGCCATCGGGTCACCGGACACACGAAGGGTGTATCTCGTTGGCTCTCCGTCTTGCCGAGGTGAGGTCAAGTGAATGACCACACTGGAATCCTGTATGCGTGTTTCGGAGACACAGCATACATCAATGGAAAGAGACTCTAGGGTTTTAGCCAAGGAAGCCTGCTGACCGATTTGACATAGGGTGCGTACGTTGAAGGCTCCAATGTGTAGTTTGGAGCGAGGTTTCAGTAGACCTGGGACAGTGTTTTGCGCACTAGAATCGTTGGCTACGGTGACACTTGAGGTGGAAGCCGAGAGAGGAAATACAGAGTTGAAAGTCGATGTAGGAGGAATAATAGGAATTGAAGAAGGAGGTTGATTATGAATACAGTGGACTTGAGTGCTGTTAGAAGTATGAGGGCGGTTATCACTTCCCGGTTGCCCACACCGTGGAAGGGTTGTTCTGGAGGTACCTGAAAAGGAAATTGGATTAAAGGTGGTCTTAGTGAACTGAGAGCGTGACCGCAGTGCCCAAGGGACAACTGCTTGAGGTCGGTCACACACGACCTTGTTATGGGTAATTTTTGTGTTAGCTCCGTACTTATTGAGACCTTACCGCCGGAGACGGATATCCGTGGGATAAGGCGAGGTGTGCATTTTTAGGGTCGACCTTTTCTAACCCCACCCCTCCTTGTGGGAAGGCAGCATCGCTGTCATGCTGGTTGTCTGAAGGAAACACCTTACTGCTGTCACACCTCTGTACAGTCAGCAGTACGACTTCGCCTTCGGACCTTGGGTTTGTTGCTTTTAGTCTTACCGCTCTTCAACCGACCTGTCTGACATGGTAGGACCTTGAGGAACGGTTGTTCCAGCCAGTATAGCTCGGTTGCTTCATCACGATAGGCAAGCCCGACCACCACGTCAAGGTAGCAACAACGGTCGGGCCCAGTTTCTCCATTAAAACTAGGAGTCTAAAACATGCGTAAATCTGGTTGGTGGATACGAAAGGTTCACATAAAGAAGTTAACAAATTCTGCTTTCGAGCCAGCGGTACATATGGGACCAAAACATTGAAACAATAGATGGTGTTTGGGCTAAACTGAGATACTAGTTATATATATATATATATATATATATATATCCCAACGTTTAGTTCACTCGTCCAGACCTTGTAAGTAGCTTTCTAAAAGCCATCTATCTCGGTTTCTGTGCTTGAAAATTATCTCAACCTTTCTATAAATTATGTTTTTTGAAGTTTTCGTAACTAGTTTCACAAATACATGATCATAAACCCCACTTTTATGGACCAGATTAATTTTTATCGTGTTATATTATCTCTGCGTTGTTTGACAAAAACACTAAGCTAACACATATTTTTGATAATTGTTCGTAAGGTTTTACAATTACAACTAAGAGTACTTAACCATGTCATTTTGATTGTCATTGGTTAGAGTAAAGGTATTTGAAATGAAGTTTGATAACACTCATTATAATCGTAACTAAAAATCATACGATTGTTCGCATATCCTAAAAAAAAAAACTTTGTTTCTAAGTTTGTTCATAGTAACTTGTTACACCCAATTATTTTATGCTGTTATAAATTAATCTTCTTTATGCTCATTATCTTTTGTATAGAGAAAACCGCCCTAAAGCAAATACAATTTGTGTCGCCAACCACACGACACCGTTTGATTGGTGCATTTTGGCCTCAGACGTTACCTACGCTGTTGTAAGACTTTTCCATAGTTTATTCTGTAATTTTATTTCACCATTTGAAGTTATTTTGCTTTGTATGTTAAACAATAGTGAACTGTGTCTAAGTGTGAGAAATAATTGAGTTGTAAGCATCGGTTATTGAATTCCCAAAGTATTACCTCTCCGAGTAGTATTGATTCTTGGTGTAGAGTACTTGATAAAAGGGGAAATCACTTGTCATCCTTTATTAATTAAAGTGGTTGGGACTACTCTTAAGCATCCACTTACTTCGAAATATGGTGTTAGCTTACATAAGATTATGCTTTAACAGTCTAATATTAGTCAAATCAAACGTTTAAAGTTACTTCCAACTTCATAAATAATTATCAGAGACCAGATATGATAATTTTGTATCAGATCAATTGATCAGCCTTTTATTCTACTTGCTATACTTATTTTCCACTCTATAAGAACTCCTGCGATTGAATAAACTCATCTTAATTTCAATTGATGGGCTGAATTTCAGATTAACTCAGTTTGTGTTGTATTTTTCGAAACTACTCATATATACATGTATCCAATCACAATTTTTTTTATGTAGTTAGCACTAGTGTTAACAAATTTCTCAGCCTGAAATTAAGAAACAAATCCACAATTGTGAAACTGATCACTGAGTTTCATCATACTTTGGTGGTTTATTAAATCCTATCCATTCTTTGATTCAATAGGATGTCAAAAATAATAAGCTTCACTTTAAACGCAGAATCATTTCATTACACAACATCTGCGTAACATATTTTCTCAATATCCTTACCGGATAGAAGCTTATCAAAAAGCAATATAAAATAAACACTTAGTTATTGTTGAGATAACCTAGTTGGCTGCTGATATCAACAACAGTTCATTTTATCCAATTAGTTCACAATTGAAAGAAAAAAAGTTGGAGAAACGTATAAATGTTACTTTTGATTAATTTTAGACTTCATTAGGTTATTAAAACAACATAAATTACTGTAACAGAAAACCAAATAAGAAATATATCTTCAAAAATTCTAAAAATATAACAATGTAATTGATAAAATATCTCAAAGCACTTTGAGGAACATCTTATTTCACAGAACTTAATCTTCAGCAGTCAGAGGTATAATATTTGTTCGGTTAAAAACCTGCTACTTTTCAATCAGAGCAATCACACGTTCACTCATGATCGACCTTCAGCTACAAAAATGAATAAATACCTAGCTTATTTGTCCAAATCACTAACAGATATGTGCCGTATAAAAATATAACTGATATATTTAACTTAGTCATAGTGTAATATTGTCTTACATACATCTACATTTCAAATGTATGTAGTATACTGATTATGGTTCAATATAACTAGTTACTCATTTTTACGAAGTATTCGTGTTTGTGCTTAGTTTTAAGCTGCACTCCTTATGTGTAGACTGGTAGTACTAATCGACTACTCCAATCATAGTAGGTAGGGTGAGTTTCGAACGTTTACCCTACTATGACGAACTCTACTCACAAGATTGCTTTAATTAGTATATAGCGGAGCATGGCCTCGAAGCGCTTGCAGTTATCAGACGGAAAGAAGAGTTTCTGCACATCAAAAGCAGAGCGTAGGCAGAAAACTTAAAGACTAGAAGAGAAAACAGTTAACATTTTAGAACACACCGCACGGTGCAAATGAATGGCGGAAGGTTATGTATACGTATTATTTAAATGCTATTTTCTTAAGATACACATAGATTCCTTCTGTCCATTGTCTTGTTTTAAACTATCACCGATTGAGAACCGAGTTCCATTATTTCACCAATTTCGAGTGGTAGGCAAACGTTATTACGTAGCGATAATTTAGTGGTTGAGAGATCCAACTTTCTGCCACCAAGCCTCACTTCACCCAATTCAGTTTGGGCAACCAAGTAATATCATTAGCTCCTTACATTTAGTCATTTAGGCATAAGGAAAAACATCTTTTAACATGGAGACCCCCTAATTCGTCCCAACGTTGGACCCAAATAGATCACATCGCTATCAGCCACCGATGGAGGGGCTCCATAGAAGACTGTCGCTCATTCTGGAGCACATGCTTAGACTCAGATCATGCTCTAGTACGAGCGCGTATCTGTCTGCATCTTACTGAACGTAAGAAAGACGCTGCAAGGAAACCTCTTAGGACCCTACTTAATGATAGTTAAGCTAAGAGTATATTTCAGGAACAACTAGGAAAACAGTTACGCAGCCATGTATGTGATGCCCACCCCGATGCAGCATGGAATGATATCCGAAAAGCTGTGGGAACAGCAGTGATATCTGCTAGTTCGGTAACCCGTTAGGTTAGGGAGAAACACTGGATCTCAGCAGCATGCTCGAAAACTCATTCCATCTAGCTGTGAACATAACGAAGACTGGAGTCAGCTTAAGCGCAAGCTGACAAGAAGTCTACGCAATGATCGTGAACAGTGGTGGGTAGCGAAAGCAAGAGAGATGGAAAAGGCAGCGGCAATAGGTAATAGCAGACAATTGTTCAGACTCGTTAAGGAAACCGGATTTAGGAACCCGACCGTTAGCGAAACAATCTCAGAGAAAGATGGACATATTATACATTCTCAATCCAGGAGATTGGATCGATGGGCAGAACACTTCAGGGATCAGTTCAACTGGCCTTCAGCCACACTTCGGTTTCCCACGATCTCCAGTCAACCTGAATGGCAAGTTAATGTAGGTCCTCCGTCTCTTTACGAAGTTGAAAAAGCCATAGGAAATCTGAAGCGAGGGAGAGCAGCAGGCTCTGACAGGTTTACTCCTGAGATTTTTAAGGATGATGGTCCAGTATTAGCAGTGAGATTAACTGAGGTCTTAGATAGAATTTGGGAACTGGACGTAATCCCATCTGACTGGTCTCAATCACTGATTGTGCCAGTCTATAAGAAAGGACAAAAGTCCTCTTGTGACAATCACAGAGGAATCAGTTTGACTAATATAGTGTCTAAAATATTGGCTTCAATAATACTTCGACGCCTAGTCAAAGCTCGTGAAGAGCAGACTAGAGAAAATCAGGCTGGTTTTCGGTCTGGACGTGGTTGTATAGATCAGATATTCACACTACGTCAGGTTCTAGAACACAGACACACATTCAGACGCCCCACAATGGTAGTATTTCTCGACCTTAAGGCGGCATTCGACTCGATTGATCGTGAGGTTCTATGGCAGTGTTTGTCACTGAAAGGAGTACCAAAGAAGTACATTAACCTTATAAAGGCTCTCTACTCGAACACAACTGGTCGAGTGAGAGCTTATGGCGAACTGTCATCAGAATTGATTACCTCAAGTGGTGTTCGTCAGGGCTGTCCACTCTCCCCATTCTTGTTCAACTTTGTGGTCGACGTACTTTTAGAGATAACACTCTCCTCATCTAAATTTACAGGGGTTGAACTTCTACCAGGAGGTTCACTTGTTGACTTAGAATATGCTGATGACATCGTTTTATTTGGTGAAGACACTGACAAAATGCAGAGTCTTCTGGCCACTCTAAGCAACAATGCAAGCATGTTCGGGATGCGATTCGCTCCCTCGAAATGCAAAATGTTGCTTCAGGATTGGGTTACATCGACACCCGAACTAGTGATAGGGAGTGAAGTAGTTGAGTGTGTCGACCGCTTCACTTATCTTGGAAGTCTCATCAGCCCTTGTGGTTTAGTGTGTGACGAAATCTCAGCACGGATACAGAAGGCTGGACTAGCTTTTACCAACTTGCGTCATTTATGGCGTAGGCGAGATATCCGTCTATCAACCAAAGGACGGGTTTACTGCGCATCAGTTCGTTCCGTCCTACTTTATGGCAGTGAAACATGACCGGTAAGAGTAGAGGATATTCGCAGGTTACTAGTATTTGATCATAGGTGTCTTCGAAATATTGCTCGTATATCGTGGGACCATCGAGTAAGTAATGCAGTTGTTAGGAAACGGGTACTAGGTAAGGATGGCAAATCAATTTATGACATAGTGAAACTTCATCAGTTGAGATGGCTGGGACACGTGTTACGTATGCCCAACGACCGACTGCCTCGACGTGCTATGTTCAGTGGTATAGGAGTAGGTTGGAAGAAAGCTAGGGGCGGCCAAACCAAAACATGGCACAAGTCCATGAAGTCACTGACAAGTGAACTGAGTCATGTTGGTAGGTGTAGACTACCTGGTTGGGGACCGCGAGATGATAGCAACCGATGGTTAGAGACCCTGAATGACATGGCTCAAAATCGTTTGCAATGGCGCAGGTGCATCCACTCTCTGTGTTCTCCCAAATTTTGATCTCCTTATTCCTCCTTGTCTTTTTTTTCTCTTCCCAAATTTATTTCACTGTATTATACTCTTTGAATAACATCTCCAAACACTAATTTTCCCGATTACTGCTTATACTCTTATTACCTCTACCACTACGGGATTTGAATCGACCACTGCATCTCTGTGCTAATGTGGTGTGGCAACTCGAACTGATGTACGTACGTACGAAGTTCTACGTTGTTACTGACTGACTTACATTTAGTCTGGCTCATATAGAAGTACATCTGATGAGTGAGATTATTTTCCCTATATTATCATCTATATTACTCTGCCGATACAACAATAAATTATAAATGAATACTGAGTGGTTAAATAAAAAAACAATTGTCTAGTTCTTTGTCAGTCTTGTCTAGTTAATTAGGTGATATCTACAATATTTGTAAACCTTAAATATTAGCTATTATTTTATATAAATGACACTATCCTCATTAGTTTTTTCTTTTATTCAGGTTGGGCAAAAGCATGGAGGATTTTTTGGGTTTGCTGAACGGGTAATCTCGTGTGCTGTGCCTGCCGTTTGGTTTGATCGTGAGGAAGTTTTAGATCGTCTTTCTACAGCTAAAAGGTTAAAAGACCACGCAGCTACACCGAATGCTGAACCTATTCTAATTTTTCCAGAAGGTACTTGTATCAATAATACATCAGTCATGAAATTCAAGAAAGGTTGTTTTGAAGTGGGCGCTGAAATTCATCCTGTTGCAATCAGAGTATGTATTGCTTTTTAACGAAAGCTTCCTAAGTATATATATATATATATATATATATATATATATATATATATATATGGTTTGCTGTAGTCAGCAGGAAATGTCGAACCTAGGTTTCGTCCTAGCTATCACTCGTCAGCAAGAAGTGCCCAAATCTTCAGGGAACTGATACTCCCTGTGGAATTATAACCCGCTTCCCCCATCTTCGCATTCTGAAATGTTACTGTAGAGCTATTCTGACCTCGACTTATTTCTTAATATACTGAAACATTTACATTGACTTATCAATGAGTACTGACCAATTTCATGTTTGTTAGTCCTTTGGTGCTAATCGAATTCTGTCGGTCAATTGTTTGACCATTCAATAAAAATACTGTCGCTAGAGTGCTTATACGTAAATAAGGTCTTCTTTATAAAAGTTAAACTTTATACTTATCGCTAATTATGTTAATGAAAATTAGTATATATGTTCTCATTCAGTATTTATGGCTTAACTGCTAAGTGCACAGGCTATCAAACATCCTCACTCTCTGCCCCCTACCACTTTGACTTCAATTTGTTGAAATTTTAGTTCTTCCTTTAGTGAAAATAAGTAAAATGTACCACTATTTGCTATCTGTTATGACCATCAGATACTCACAAGTCGTTGCTACAGTTCAGAATACAACTGGACAGCAGTTATATGATCTGTGTGTGGCGCAAATATATTTGGCGCACTCTTGTACCAATATGTATGTATTCAAACAAATAATTTTGCGTTGTAGTAAATGGTTGGGCGGTATTATTTTGTTATTTGTGGGCCTCATGATGAGGCATTATTCGATTTAGATTATAATTCACCAGGCAAATCAACAGGAGAAAAGGTAGTCTGATTGTTTGCAAACAGCCGCTAAGTGTAGGCAGATGAATGTCTTCATCTAAATCAGTTTATTGCACATGCTGCATTGGATATGGTTGATGATCATCTGTGGTCGAAAGCAGATACGTATTTAAAAGTCGTAGACAAATTCAATGAATGGCTAGTTTCTGCCTTCATAACCCCTGGAAGTATCCTTTACAAATACAGTTTTTAAACGTCCGACGTCGGACGTTTGCACAATTATAGTACTGAATAGCTGTCAGAATATTATCTTATTTAGTCTCTTATCTCACCAAGAGAATCTCAAGGATTAGGGTCCTCATTCAAGTATTAATTTAAATTTCCACGAATTATGAGGTAATGCACTACTGTTAACTACCCATATGTATATAAGATGCAGTTTCCCTGAAATTTAGGTGAAACTATAATTTATGGACGACTTTTGAAAAACGCTAAAATCACGTTGAAAATGTTCATTCACCCACTGGGACTAAATGAGGGTTATAAAGCAGGGTTAGGAATTAGCTTTAGAGCTTTTATAACAAAATTACATCAGCTACAATGCTGAAATAATGCTTAGCCAAACTGGTAGGTGAATTTCGCGCCACAATCCAAGACCTGTTATCCTAAATTCGATTGATCTGTTAATAAATTATGGTCCTGCCGAAACATGTTATCAAAGTAGTAAGAGATGAACAATTGTTTCCCTTTGAATACGTATGTTTTCTTCAAACTTTTTTTTAGCGAAACGACTTCAATTTAACATAGTAAATTCAGGGCTGTTAGGGTATTGATTGTGTTGGTCGATTGTATGATACCAACAACGCGTGACCGGCAATAGCACTTTAAAATACGGCATTTTAATCTGCTTTGAACTGACCTATAGCCTTTGCGATGGTATTTCGTCTTCCAAAAAATAATTTTTATCACTAGGTGCGTCCGAAAAGTCCCAGATGTTCCCTTCAAGTTAAAGTATTTTCCGAAATCCATGGTTTAATGTTACTTATATCCAGTCTTCTATTTGTTTCCATGTCAGTCAACAGTCTGCGACTCCAACGTGTAAAGTAGCTAATTGACTATGCTGAAAGTCATATATGCTAGTGACTAGTTTCTTGTAGAACACTCAGTCGACTTCAGGACAGTTTATTTGAGATCTGGGTCTCAGTAAACCAGAGAATTAGTTCTCTTGAGTGTAGTCAAAATGTTGGAGGTAATCTTAGCAAAGATTTTGATCACATGCTCTCTCGCTTCTTTTGTTTATTCCTCCTAGTTTCAAGAAATCGACTCAGGGGGGAGGCTGAATACGGGTCCTTGTTCTTGACTTAAGGTCACACTTCGTGTGTGAAAGCTAGTGATAGTATATGATTGCTTGGGTCAAAACGGTGTTTAAATATCTGCACCAGTTTTTAAAAACTGAATCCTCTAACCGCTCAGGCATTACTCAACTTAGTTATTGTTGGCTCATCAAATGAGAATACGGTATGTGGAACCATACCTCATGGGTTCAATCACTTTACGAAGTTGAAAAAGCCATAGGAAATCTGAAACGAGGGAGAGCAGCAGGCCCTGACAGGTTTACTCCTGAGATTTTTAAGGATGGTGGTCCAGTATTAGCAATGAGATTAACTGAGGTCTTAGGTAGAATTTGGGAACTGGACGTAATCCCATCTGACTGGTCTCAATCACTGATTGTGCCAGTTTTTAAGAAAGGACAAAAGTCCTCTTGTGACAATCACAGAGGAATCAGTTTGACTAATATAGTGTCTAAAATATTAGCTTCAATAATACTTCGACGCCTAACTAAAGCTCGTGAAGAGCAGACTAGAGAAAACCAGGCTGGTTTTCGACCTGGACGTGGTTGTATAGATCAGATATTCACACTACGTCAGGTTCTAGAACACAGACACACATTCAGACGCCCCACAATGGTAGTATTTCTCGACCTTAAGGCGGCATTCGACTCGATTGATCGTGAGGTTCTATGGCAGTGTTTGTCACTGAAAGGAGTACCAAAGAAGTACATTAACCTTATAAAGGCTCTCTACTCGAACACAACTGGTCGAGTGAGAGCTTATGGCGAACTGTCATCAGAATTGATCACCTCAAGTGGTGTTCGTCAGGGCTGTCCACTCTCCCCATTCTTGTTCAACTTTGTCGTTGACGTACTTTTAGAGATAACACTCTCCTCATCTAAATTTACAGGGGTTGAACTTCTACCAGGAGGTTCACTTGTTGACTTAGAATATGCTGATGACATCGTTTTATTTGGTGAAGACACTGACAAAATGCAGAGTCTTCTGGCCACTCTAAGCAACAATGCAAGCATGTTCGGGATGCGATTCGCTCCCTCGAAATGCAAAATGTTGCTTCAGGATTGGGTTACATCGACACCCGAACTAGTGATAGGGAGTGAAGTAGTTGAGTGTGTCGACCGCTTCACTTATCTTGGAAGTCTCATCAGCCCTTGTGGTTTAGTGTGTGACGAAATCTCAGCACGGATACAGAAGGCTCGACTAGCTTTTGCCAACTTGCGTCATTTATGGCGTAGGCGAGATATCCGTCTATCAACCAAAGGACGTGTTTACTGCGCAGCAGTTCGTTCCGTCCTACTTTATGGGAGTGAAACATGGCCGGTAAGAGTAGAGGATATCCGTAGGTTACTAGTATTTGATCATAGGTGTCTTCGAAACATTGCTCATATATCATGGGACCATCGAGTAAGTAACACAGTTGTTAGGAAACGGGTACTAGGTAAGGATGGCAAATCAATTGATGACGTAGTGAAACTTCATCAGTTGAGATGGCTGGGACACGTGTTACGTATGCCCAACGACCGACTGCCTCGACGTGCTATGTTCAGTGGTATAGGAGTAGGTTGGAAGAAAGCTAGGGGCGGCCAAACCAAAACATGGCACAAGTCCATGAAGTCACTGACAAGTGAACTGAGTCATGTTGGTAGGTGTAGACTACCTGGTTGGGGACCGCGAGATGACAGCAACCGTTGGTTAGAGACCCTGAATGACATGGCTCAAAATCGTTTGCAATGGCGCAGGTGCATCCACTCTCTGTGTTCTCCCAAATTCTAATCTTCTGAATTCTTCATGTCCCTTTTTTTCCTCTTTCCAAATTTCTTTCACTGGATTATACTCTTTAAATAACATCTCCAAACCCTAATCTTCCCGATTACTGCTTATACTCTTATTACCTCTACCACGACGGGATTTGAATCGACAAGTGCATCTCTGTGCTAATGTGGTGTGGCAACTCGAACTGATGTACGTACGTACGAAGTTCTACGTTGTTACTGACTGACTGACTGAAATAAATAAATATGTTCTGAAAAATAACATGTCGCTGCATTTTGAATCCTTGCAATATGTTTATATATGTTAGATTGTCACATAGCGACATATATAACAGTTAACTTGAATCATATTCTTTGACACGGTAACAACTAACATTTTCTATTAATAAGTGCTGTCACAAGCTCAAATCCATTAATTATCGCTGACAATTTTGTTTGCTTTCACTTATCATCAGGTGTCGATCGTACTACTCACAAGTTCATTGGAGTTAAAAAATAGTAAACCATTAAGTAATCCTCATAATTATTTGTTGGATACATAGCGTGAAATCATTCACAATATAATGTATATTCATATTCATTCTCTGTCATTTTGTAAATCTTGAATTAGATGTCATTCATAACGTTCTATCTTTCCATCACATTTATCCTTTCTCTCACTGTATTCCACATGTTTAAATCTAAATTGTCTTTATGTTATTTTCCATCCTGTTTTTCTCGTCTTGTTGATTGCCTTCCACTGTCTTGCAGTACTTATACTTCCTATTTTGTAAATTCGTTCTGTCTTCTCAAATCACATTCTCTATTTTCTACTACAACTAACACTGTTATCATTTCTACTACTCTGTCTATTGTCATAAGAATTTCATTTTGCTGTGTTAATCAGGTATGGCAACTTAAACCGGTGCACATGCGTACGAGGTTCCACCTTGTTTACCACTGGCTGATTCGAATCTCGGTAAAATATGAGAACCATACATTGAATACTTCATTTGCTAATCTCTCGTCATTTGTCCTTCACATTCTGTATGATTCTTCCAAGTTACAATTTCTTTATATTTCCTTTTCTGTTTTCCCCAAGTCTAACTTCACAGCCTTCTGCTGCCATGGATTGCTCTTCTGACTGGTGTTACATTACTACTTATGTCTGTCGACATAAGTAGTATAAAACGTAGTTCTCAACCAATAAAGAAACAACAATGCAGATTTTTCTCATTTTTCATGAGTTTGTCACCCAACATCATTTCGTTTCAGTTACCCATTTCCAATTATCCAAGGCCGTTCAACCGTACAATAAAAGCACTGCTGAGTAGTCCCACAATAGGACGAAACGGCCGTCCAGTGCTTCCAGGTTTTCCATGGTGGTCTAGCTTCAATCGACTCATGATCTCATCTATTGAAAAATCATTTTATTGAATTTTATAGTTTCATTACGTATCATTTGTATGATTTTAACTAGTCTTTTAGATATATAGAAGCCATTTTTTGATTATCTGTTGATTACTTTTCTCCTCCCCCCCTCTCTCATGTCCTATAAAAGTACAATCCATTATTTGCTGACTGTTTTTGGAACAGCAGTCTAGATAGTTTATTCCAGTACAGTTTAAAAATAATGACATCATGGGCTATTATGGTAGATGTTTGGTATTTACCACCCACTAGAAAATCAGATCAAGAAGATTCAATTGCATTTGCAAGACGTGTACAGTATAGTATTGCACAATGCGGTGGTATGATTGGAATGGATTGGTAAGTAGTTAATAGAATATCCTTTCTTTTTTAATCTTACCGTTACCTTTGCATCATCTCTGAGCAGTGACTAATTTCGTGTTTGTCTAGTCCTTTTTTGCTGAGCAAGTATTTGAAGTTTTTCCACCGGCCTGAGTGACTTTATATCGCGTGTGCTATGTCAAGATTCTGAGTAATTAAAAGTAATAGACAAGAAACCTAGGTTTCGTATTAGTTGGAACTCATCATCGAAAGGCATCTGCAATCTTAGAGGAGCTAATGCTGTCTATGCAACCCGAGCCCTTATAACCCTCGCTCAGCGTTTGAGACGGCAGTTACGCCTTGCTGATCAGTCTCAACTAACACGAAATTCAGACCCGGGGTTTACAGCAAACGACCTTCCATCATATATCACTTCTCTTTATTTTGTTTCTTTTGCTACTAGCCTACAATCTACTATGTTTTCACCAACATTTAAGATTTCACTAGATTATACTTCTTGAATAACATCTTCAAACCCTAATCTTCCCGAGTATTGCCTATACTTTTACTACCTCTACCACTATGGGATTTGAATCGATAATTGTATCTCTGTGCTAATGTGGTATGGCAACTTGATCTGATGTACGTACGTACGTACGAAGTTCTACGTTGTTGCTGACTCACTGAAATTTAAGATTTATGTCTTACTCGTGTTTCGAAAACAGAAACGTTGAAGTGTAGAGATAATTGCATGTTGGAGTGATAATTTACATCAGTATAAGTAAAATAGCTCACGAATCATATGCATAGTTCACAGGTCTGTCCATCAGCAAGAATTCTAATTATTTCTAGTTAAAAATTTACACAGTTGAATTGACAAGTTAACCTAAGGTAGACCACCACTGAGAACCTAAAAGCACAATCTCCACAAACCCCTATATTGATAATCAAAAGTTAGCATGAAATGTAATTGGAACCCCATTTATTTTTACTGTTTAGAGTTTTATTCAATTATGTCTTCAATGTGGCACCATCTGGGGTGCGCTACACGTATAGATATAGAAGACTAACAAGATAGAAAACTCCGCCCATAGCTCTTCTAGAGTTACTGCCGGTCCCAAGCCCGGGTAAAGGAGGAGGGTTGGGCATGGGGTTAGTGACTCCATCCCGTAGAAAACTAACTCGCTAAAAAAACGCTAACTAGAAAAAAAAAGAAGAAGAACTATGACGCCTCATGGTGAAAGCCGAGTTCCTTCGGAAGTCACGAGGCCGATACTCCTTCTAACAACCAAAGCAACAATTTTTATAGGTACATGGAACGTACGGACAATGTGGGAGACTGGGAAGACCAGTCAAATAGCAATGGAAATGAAGAGATACTGGGAATCAGGTGAAGCCATTAGACCCAAAGTGGGACGACAAAGGCTAAATACGGAAGTGATTCTGTACCCCGGCCACGAAGAGGGAAATGCTCCACACACTCAGGGAGTTGCTCTAATACTGTTCAAAGTGGCACAAAATGCACTTGTAGGATGGGAATCTCACGGATCCAGAATCATCAAAGCATCATTCAAAACAAAGAAGGAGGGGGTCACAATGAATATTATCCAATGTTATGCACCCACCAATGATAGCAACGACGACATTAAAGATCAATTCTATGAAAGGCTGCAGTCAGTCATAGACAAGTGCCCAAGAAACGACCTCACCATTGTGATGGGAGATCTAAACGCCAAAGTCGGAATAGACAACACCGGATATGAAGATATCATGGGACGACATGGATTGACTGGGAGAGTGAAACGAAAATTGGGAGAGATTTGCAAATCTGTGTGCATTCAATAAATTGGTCACAGGCGGCACAGAATTTCCACACAAACGTATACACAAAGCTACTTGGATCTCACCGGACCACACTACAGAGAACCAGATAGATCATATTTGCATCAATAAAAAATTCCGAAGGACAATGGCAGATGTGAGAACCAAGAAAGGAGCTGACATAGCTTCAGATTACCACCTAGTTGTGGCCAATTTAAAACTGAAGCTAAAAAAGAACTGGACAAGTGGACAAACAGCATTACAAAGGTTCAATACAACCTCCCTTCGAGATACTAACAAACTCAATGAATTCAAGATAGCTCTCAACAACAGGTTCCAAGCCTTACAGGATCTACTGAAGGAAGAAGAAACTACTATGGAGGACAACTGGAAAGGTATCAAATAAGCATTAACTTCAACGTGTCAAGAGATTCTGCGTCTCGAGAAGCATCATCATAAAGAATGGGTCTGTATAGAAACACTGAACAAGATCAAAGAAAGGAAAAACAAGAAGGTAGCAACTAACAACAGCCAAACACGAGCAGAGAAGGTCCAACCACAAGTTGAGTACATAGAAGCAAACAAGCAAGTGAAGAAGAGCATTAGAGCCGACAAGAAGAAATATGTGGAAGAACTAGCAACGACTGACTGACTGACTGACTAGCAACGACGGCGGAAAAAGCTGCAAGGGAAGGGAATATGAAACAGCTTTACCATACAACGAAGAAACTATCAGGGAAATACAGTAAACCAAAGAGACCGGTCAAAAACAAAGGCAAGCCAATCACTGAAATTCAAGAACAGCGGAACAGATGGGTAGAGTACTTCGAGAAACTCCTGAATAGGCCTGCTCCAATGAATCCACCGGATATCGAAGTAACACAAAGAGGTCTTACTATAGATGTCAATCCACCAACGGCGGTAGAAACCAAAACGGCCATCAGACAAATCAAGAGCGGAAAAGCAGCAGGACCCGACAACATACCAGCTGAAGCACTGAATTCAGACATCAAAGTAACTACAAACATGCTTCACCTTCTATTCAAAAAGCTCAGAACCAATTAGACGATTTGGACTTCGCAGATGACATAGCCCTCCTATCACATATACATGAACAAATGCAGATAAAGACAGCCAGTGTAGCAGCAGTCTTTGCATCAGTAGGCCTCAACATATACACAAAGGGATCACCAAGATCCTCAAATACAACACGGAGAACACCAACCCAATCATACTTAATGGCGAGACTCTGGGAAATGTGGAATCCTTAACGTACCTGGAAGGAGGATCAGATGCAGACTTAAAGGAGAGGATTGGCAAAGCAAGAGCCGCATTCCTTCAATTGAAGAACTCAAAACAACTCTCAACCAATATCAAAATGAGAATCTTCAATACGAACGTCAAGACACTCAGTTCTACTGTACGGAGCTGAAACATGGAGAACTACGACAACCACCATCAAGAAGGTAAAAGTATTTATAAATGGTTGTCTATGCAAGATACTCAACATCCATTGGCCGGATACCATCAACAACAGTCTACCGTGGAAGAGAACAAACTAGCTTCGAGCTGAAGAGAAAATTAGGAAAAGATGCTAGAATGGATAGGACATACATTGTGGAAATCATCAAACTGCATCACGAGGCAATCACTAACTTGGAATCGTGAAGGGAAGTGGGAAAGAGGAAGCCCAAAGAACACATTACGTAGGGAAGTCTAAGCAGATATGAAATGGATGAATAACAACTGGAAGGAGCTGGAAAGGATTGCCCAGGACAGGGTTGGATGGAGAATGCTGGTGAGCGGCCTATGCTCCTACACGAGAAGTAGTGAAACTTCATCAGTTGAGATGGCTGGGACACGTGTTACGTATGCCCGACGACCGACTACCTCGACGTGCTATGTTCAGTGGTGTAGGAGTAGGTTGGAAGAAAGCTAGGGGCGGCCAAACCAAAACATGGCACAAGTCCATGAAGTCACTGACAAGTGGACTGAGTCATGTTGGTAGGTGTAGACTACCTGGTTGGGGACCACGAGATGATAGCAACCGATGGTTAGAGACCCTGAATGACATGGCTCAAAATCGTTTGCAATGGCGCAGGTGCATCCACTCTTTGTGTTCTCCCAAATTTTGATCTCCTTATTCCTCCTTGTCTTTTTTTTCTCTTCCCAAATTTATTTCACTGTATTATACTCTTTGAATAACATCTCCAAACACTAATTTTCCCGATTACTGCTTATACTCTTATTACCTCTACCACGACGGGATTTGAATCGACAAGTGCATCTCTGTGCTAATGTGGTGTGGCAACTCGAACTGATGTACGTACGTACGAAGTTCTACGTTGTTACTGACTGACTGACTGAAGTAAAATCCGATATTTTGATCCACCCAAAACAAGAAAGTCGACTAAATATGATTTGAGAACCTTCAAAGCATAGAAGTTATAACATACCAATGAGCATATAGTTTAGAATTTTGATTCCTTTTGTCGACACCTCTTTAACTATCGTTTATCCATTTTGCTGTAGTTACTTAAAACAAATTCTATCGAAGTTTCTTTAAACTATAAATAACAAGTCTGACTATTGACTTTTCAACTGATAGGGTTTTCATTCTTTTGTATTTTTCTTATTGATGTCGTTAAATCTAAAAATATCACATGGACTACAAATGTTTCAAGTTGATTGTCATTTAGAATTGACCTATAAAAATTATTAAGACCAAATAAAAATTGATGAGGAAAAAGAGAATAGTTATCTAGCGCATGAGGTTAAATAATTTCATGACGCGATAAGATGAATATTGTTACTTGGATCCAAATTTTACTCCCATATGCATTTACACTTAAAATTGAATAGCATCAATCCATTAATCAGTCGTCAATAGGGACCCGATATGCATGTGCATTAGTTAAATTTATCACAATTGAGATCAGATAAACAAGAATTTAATATGATGAGGGGCATAGGATGGAAAACATTGAAAACAACGAGAATTTGGACATGAAGAATGCAGTCCTAAAGAAAGAACGAAAAAGCAGTTATGACACTCGATTCCAGGCTAGAATGTTTGACATTTGCATCACTGTGATCAATGACGTACCAGATCATTTGATATTTGTAAGCAATAAAATAGAAGACCGGAAATTTTTTCTGCAACACGCGACTAATCCCAGAGAAGCTAAAACTGCGAATATATAGTTGAGAATGAATGAATGAAAAATATGAAATTCTATAGTAAAATCCGTCAGGTTTAAAAATTAATAAAGATAGATCTCGTAAATCCGAAAATTATACATATCCACAAAGTAGTCACCAGTGTACAAAAAGTTTCACTTTCAAAATAATGGAAATTTTTAGCTCATAAGGATAATTCTGTTGGAGTTTGCGTTCCCCTAGCTGTTCGGTTTAATTTTGATAAAAACTGGAAATTTTTAGAAGCTTGGTACTCAGATCAGTCACTGATCGATAAACGTGTCTATATCAAACCTATAACAATCACAAGCAACTGTAAGGTGAAGAGTTAGGTCAGGGTGGAAGACAATTAAATAAATATGTAGATAAGTGCAGGATGAGTGCCGGCAACAACCAACCAGAATCAAGATTACTAGAGCGATCCGTTAGCCGATACATTTGATGATTTCACTATTGTTTGTACTGGTCATATCATCTAATGAGTCAATAGAAGCTTCACGATCAAATTACTAATCTCACAGTACTGTTGGATTTCAAATTATCGGTAGTTTAAAAACATCGTACTTGACATGTAACGTGTATATCCTGAACTCTTATTGCTAAGGTGTTCGAAACTGAAATGTGACAGTCATGTAGTGTTATCCGATTTTCAATAATTTCCCACGTGATATTAATCTATAGTAAATACTGATTTATAATTATTTGTTGGAATGGTAATAAAAAACGAAGACTTTTTGTTGATAAACTTAGTGATTTCGTACCACAATTATTCGTGTTCGAGGTTTCTGTTCTTGTTTGCTGAAAAAATGTGGTACACACTTAATCGAATGGTATTATTCTATAAAAGTTAAGAAATGGGGGCTTCTATAAGTAAAGCCTGTTCTATGGAATAGTGGGTTTGTGGTTAGATCACATCATTTAAACAATCAGCTAGCAGGTTTGAACCCTTCCCTTCACATACTTCTGTTAGGGAAATCTTGAAATAATGTTACACGAAGTAGATTATTGATGTATTGGGAGTCAACTAAACTAATAATATCGAAAGATATTGTTTGTTAATAGGTGATTAACCGTCTGGCCGCAATGTACAAGAGACAACTGCATGAGACTAAATAGTTCCTGATATTGTTAGCAACATATTTTGAGGGCCTTGTCACTGGTGACAAAAATCTATGTGGAATAAGGCAAACTAACTTGTTTTTAGTCCCGGTCTTTTCTAACTACCACATTCTGTCATGGAAAGACTACATCACTGTAGATACTGGTTATCTAAGGCAAATGCCTTACTGCAATCAGAACTGTAGTACAGTGAGGAAAATGACTTCGTCTTTAGACTTTAAGTTGATGCCTTTAGTCCTGCTGTTCCCCAACCAACCTGCATGACATAAAATGACAGTTCCATACAATATAACTCGATTGAGTCATCATAGTGTCCTACTTAGATCACCACGACCACCCCATCAAGGTAGTAACTACAGTCAGTCGTTTATCTTCTTATATTATCACGTCTATTTCTATTTCTTCATTCATAGGGATGGTGAATTAAAACGAAACAGACCAAAAGACACATTGAAACATGCACAACAAAAATATGTTAGTCAATATGTCATACCTGCTGACTCACAATCATCCTCTACATAAAAAAAACTGATCTATCCTGTATACACACCCACCCATACACATGAAATTTTTCTACTACAACTTTGATCTTGCATTCTCTATTGAAACCTACCAAATTGTTTATTTTTGAATTGATATTTTACATTTGAATTTGTAGTTATCTTACAATTTAATTTCTCCTTAGTTTACACACATTCCTCTGTTTTATATTATTATTATTATTATTATCCAAAGAGAATTCATCCAGAGCAAGTGAAATCACGCTTTTCTATTTTGCAACAATTCATTGTTCTTTTCTTGTTTTTCTGTGTTTGAGATAAAAACTTTTGTAATCCTCTTACTTTTGTATTTGTTATTGACAAGCTGTTTCGATTATTATTATTATTACCAAATTTATAGACTCCAATTACCGCTGCACCTCTATATATATACTAGTCTGTTTATTTGCCCTTTGATATCTCTATCAATTAGTCAGCCAACCTCTCTGTCTTCTAATCATTTTTACATTAATGTGACAATCTTGTTGATTCTGCTACTACTTATTTTCTTTCCTCAAACAAACAAGAATTAATATGTTCTATTTGTCATTTCAATGTATAGAGAAAGTGATGGAAGAGTTGAACGGTATAAAGGGAATTCATAAACATAATGGTGTATATACTATTGATTGGTTTTAATTTTCATCTTATACATCAGACAAGTATTGTTTTTTAGTTTTTTTCCGGGGGCTGACATTAAAACGGTTGTGTTTTTTTCCCTTAACCCTAACGATAAATTTTTTGAAAGTATAACTGTGAATATTAAGAATTAGTGATTGATTCAAGTGTTATAGAAATGTTTACTCAATATAGTCTGGGTGCACACTTTTTCCGCCCAAATGTTTGGAAATGTTGTATGATGAAAAGAAAACTAATCATAGCTATAACCATGTTCAAACTTGTTTCTAAACTGGTGACATGGTGATTTCGATAATTCACTGATATTGAAAAGGTAATCACTACAAAATATTGACTTTCATGTTCGTCTTTAGTAATAACCGATTATAACATTTTAAAAATATTTATCATTAAGTAACTGCTTTGAGTTGTACAAAGTGGAAAGCTATGAGAAATTGTTTATTAATCTGTGGGCGGGTATAAATGATAAGTTTAAACTACAGATGTTTTAATGTTATTCTTTTCTGGATATGGTTTTATCTCATGAACTGACATATTTGCTGAGAGTTTACTGAAAACCAAGATAGCACTTCACAGATATTCCTTAACACTGTGCACTTTCTACTGCTCCAGAATTAAAAGTTAAGATATGTTTTCACCAGTTAATTGGAACTGAAAATATGGATTCTTGAATTCCGATATGGCTATCCAATTGGTAACAAATTTTCTGCGAGACCCAAAGGTCCTAGTCAGTGCAAGCTGTCGTTGGAACTGTTAAATTATTCTAATTTAATAAATCACTGAAAAATTCTTTAAATTCAGCGTCAGTTGGTAAAGTATACTTTTGAAAATTGAACGAATTAACAATGCTGTATATAATATTCTTGGTAAGACTATACTGACAACCGTGAGTGGACTAACTTAGTTTGAGCTAACGTCTTGTGTAAAAGTGATTTGTCGTTCTTTCCTGAATATATTAGTTATTGTTATTTGAATGTGCTTTTACTGACTAACTAGATTTTTCACATCCTTCGGTATATCAGAGAACTCACATGTTGAAGTCTTGCATTTTCACAGTTCAATTTCACAATCATATACATTGAACGTATGAAAATAAGTTTTGCTGCATGCATGATAAACAGTATCTCCAGTTAGTTTACATGGAAAATTTAGCCTACTCGCTGTTCTTGTACTTTGTTTGTAGACGTTATAACATATTCAGAAAATGTATTATTCACTTTAGTTAATCAATTAATTAAGGTTTATTGAAAGTAGATACAACTTGAATATCAAGAATGATGTCAATTTGTGCTTGCCTGGTTGTTTTGTTTTTCTTAAATATAAGGTGCTGTAGACTTTATGGACAAATCACTTAATCTCACCTATTAGTCTAGACGGAAAAATGTATTTATATGGAGATGGCTAGCTCATTTTAAGGGAATTTGTTCGAGCAAAATGTGTTGTCAGAGAAGGTCTTTGACTTCCTACTTTCAACTTGTTCACTTCATCAAGCTTTGGAAATCGATCAAATTGATCATTATTTATCCTCAGTATGTACTTACAACGATACTCGTAATATTAAATACAAAACATGACTTGAAAATTCATGTTAACAACTTAAGATTGTAGCTATAAATTTCTGTTCTGGAAACTGACGATATGTGTATAATTCAATTAGTTTATTATTTATAGGTTTCTCCAAGCAAACTATGAACTGTCACTTTGGTTGATTCTTTCCACGTCAAACTGTTTTCAGTGACTCTACTACTCTGCTTTAATTCGACTAAATCTCAATCGTCTCGAAGTTATTTTTAATGGCAAGAACTGAAATGGTTGACGGATTATTCTATCACAATTTGAAGAAGTAGGTCATGACGGTCTAGCACACTGACTGTGGTATCCCGTATTCCAGCGAAATAACATTGTGAAGAAATAGAAGACGCGAAAGTCATACTGTTCATCAATAAATAAACAACGGTATGTATTAAAAGATAAAGTTTAGTTAAGAAAACAAACTAATTGAATTTCGATCAGTTAAAATGCTCTATTTTTTCATGGATGAGGTAATCAGAAAATTACACAATGGTCTACAGTAGCTTCTATTTTTAACAGTCTAACGGCCTCTGAAACCACTTGGTTGTACATCGGCATAATAGGAAAAAAATCACGAGTAAAGAGCTGAACTCACTGACATGACCACCTGAATAAATATGATCGGAATAACGTTGAAAATGAACCACAAATGGGCCAGATTAACACATTCTGGTTTGACTTTCTCCATAAACACATCGAATTTGTACGTCATAGCAGCATGAGGACTTAAACAGTGACTTAGGCATGCGACATTTTGAAGTATGTTCAACGATGAAGAAAAATGAGTCAGTAGTTACAAACTTCTACTTCTAGAGTTCTCATTAGATAAAGAATATGGCTATATCTCATGCGAATGGACTCTGACAATCACTTTGATAGGACTCCAACCTGCTGTTAGGCGATTCCAACAAAAGTGGATTTTCAAAGCTTAAATCAATTTGTAAAATACAGTGTTAATCTTGACTAATAAATAACGAGATCATTTTACAATCTGGTTTCAAATATATATTACAAATGATAATCGGTTTATTATGATCAAAGTATATTTATTTCAGACTAAACGAAATGATCGAAGTGTAAATGTAATCAACGTAATAAAATTTCACGTTTCTTATTTGTCTTTTTTGTAACAAACTTATATATATTTCATCATATCCTAAATCTTGTCAATAATTAGGTGACTTAATTAAAATTTCTCTAAAGTTATTCAATTCAATACTGAAGAGTCCCACAATGGGACGAAACGACTGCTGAGTGCTTCCAGGTTTTCCATGGTGGTCTAGCTTTGATTGACTCATGATCTCAACTAATGGAATTACTATAATACCCTTTCTGATATTAAAATTATTCCAAGTTGAGTAAAAAAAACAATCAAGTACTCATTACCTTTTAAGTGTAGTTATTAAATAGATTAGTTTATTAAAGTGTACTTACTATGTATCTATGGTTATAATGTCACAAAACTTATTGTTAATCTTAGTTTAATAATAAGATAAAGGAACTAATAAAACATGATATTGATTTCGAAATTTGTTAGCATGTAATAAGGAAAAAACAACTTTTTCGACATATGACCTATTATCACCCATTGTAGGTAATTGTTATGAATGAAAGTTTAATAATTTATGATAATAAATGAATACAATACTGCTTGACTGACAATGTACAATGATATAATGTGATCAAGTGATAACTGTTCAATAGCGGAATTATTGATGTGTGTCCAGGATAGAGTTGGACAGAGAATGCTAATGGACGGCTTATAGTCCACTACGATGGGTAACAGGCGTAAGTAAATAAGCTCTCAAAATGAACAAATATCAGAATACAAGATAGTCAGGTGCCCAGAAGTTTAGGTACTTATGCACTGATTATTAAATACAAGAAATAAGTATGATAAAAACTCATTTGGAATAAGCTACTGGAAGATATGGAATTCGTAGGTCACTCAATGAAAAAAGTCTAATCATCAGGCTCTATTCTTCTCCTGTCATATCACTAATATTTGTGAATTAATTAAATAAGCATTATTAAAAATTTTTAAGTTGATATTCTTGACTGAATTTCGATCAGCCTTGGTCGGCATGTGTTTTTTTGCAGGGATTGCATTGATATGGCCATTTACAAGTTTTTATTGAATAAATGAGAGGTGGCTATTTGGTATCGAGGTCCAGTTGAAACATCAACACTAAGATGGAGATATATCCGGTTGACGAGTCCCAAATAGTAAAAAAGAATGCTTGTCCTGGATTTCACTGCTAGCCGAAATCCATCTACTCAGTTAATCGATAGATTTTAGTGGTAAGTATGGTTAATGAGCAATTGAGTTATTTGTCACTATTACTTAAAAACAGGTTGAGGGAAGAAATATTTCTTTTCATTTTGGCCCTACAATGATATATGGATTTAACAGTTACCAATAAAATCAGTACGAAATAACTGGTGATAGATCAGTTGAACAATGTATCTCAATATTTTCTGAAAAATCAATAATCACTTATTAGCCTAAAGGATGAAAAATTTAATACAAATATAAGATTATATATTAACACATTACGTGAGTATAAGAATTGAGTCATTAATAAAAGTGTGCAAAGAAAATCACTCAATCACATTATTAAGATAGATAGATGGGTTACATAATAATAAAGTCTTAAATTGAACACATTGAGAAACGAATGAATTGTAATGAACGTAAATTTGATTGACCATGAAGCGTAGACAAACTAATACAGCTTACTAACTATTAAATGTGATTTCTTTTCCTGTTAT